GATGAGCCCAACACTTCGAACAGAATGCGATGACCTAATTCTTCCTCTGTTAATCTAAAAAAACACCACTCTCTCGCTTTATCTGTCCTTGAGCGACGGTGAACTGAAGTCTCGCTAGTGAACTCCCAGCAGCGCGAGACGCGGTCCGAGCGCACGAGGTAACGCGGTCTGTGTGTCTGCGCGTTGCGCGAGTTAAACCCCAAGGATCAGGCTGCTACGTCACTCCTCGAGCAATTAATCTTGACCTATGATAAGGCATTTATTCAAGCCCTGTTTGAATACTATGCTGGTGAATTTTATATTTTGATGCTTTAAATGTGATATTAGAAACTGATTTACATTTGTGCTTATTGGTCGTTTTAAAATGAGTTTTCCAATATTTTATTTGATCAGACTGAGGCAGCACAGTCTAAACACACAGCATGATTTTATCAAAACATCCTTCTCATTTATTATTGATATGCTCATTATCTTAATCCAATGACAAGACTTCTCCCAAGGTGGGCAGCTGTTGTCCTGTGCCTCCCAGGCACATTAAAAATTACTAACAATAACAAAAACAACAGTGCTGGTAATTTTTCTTTATGGATTAGATAATCATGTTTGCATTTCATTGGCTATGGTAAAAAGTATCTAAAACATTGCTGTAAATCATCATACAATATGAAACACTTTTAGTATACAACAACAACACATGAGTGTGTATAAGTGTTGTATGAGTCCTTGAGATGCAATTTATGACATTTTATTAAACAATTCTTTTGGTTAACTGTAAGTTACCTTGTCAAATATAATGCATGTAACAGGTGGTGTATTATCTTTGTGTGGGTAACTGTGCTCTGTCTATAAACTGTATGCCAATTTTGATGGACATTAATTTTTTCATGTAGCCTTGCATTATACCACATATATTTGGTGTTAACCAATATATTTAACAGCATAGTGCACATCAAATGCTGGAAATCAAAGTTGTAAAATTTTCACGCTGTTTGTTCACACTTGGAATTAACAGAATTTCTTATGATTATGTTACATTTGAAAAGTCAGACTGATTTGAAATGCAGTTTTCTGAGCTGCAGTAGGCTAATCTGTTTTCTCTAAGACCATTTTCAATCCATATTAATTTCCTTTTTTTCATGGTTGTCCTTGAAAATTACCTTTCCGTGTCCTCCCATGCATTAACCATGTGTGTACTAAATCATAACCTCTTTCCTGTAGAAACTGCCATTTTACATGCAGAGTGTATTCTCAAGATTTCTGTATTCTCATTTCTGATGGCGACTCATGGCCTACCTAAGTTTTCCCCTCAGGTGAAGAAGTGAGGTTTGTCAGCTACTGTGAAAAAGAGCAAATGTGTGGACTTCCCATGTGCCCAGGTTGACTGGAAAAGCTTTTAATGAGTGTTCAGCCATGAACTGAAGGTCTTCTCATTTCCACATACTCTCTTGAGAGCCCTCCCTTGGTTCAATGAAAGATATCAAAAAAACGGTAAATAACATCTTACTGTAGGCAAAGTAATAAAGCATTTAAAATACTACACAAATTGTGATAGAAAATAATGTGACTTTAGATACGGAGATATAAAAAATGCAGAACACTATGAATAGATTAAGATCTGCGTTATGTAAATATGACAAGTCAATTGCAATGAAAAAGTCTAATGTTTGTAAAAGTCAGTCTTTAAAAAAAAAAGAAAGAAAGAAAACTTTCGGAAATCCATTTAAAATTCTAACCCACAACTCATTCTTTCGCTCATTTCATTCCCTATTTTTTCTTAGTTAAATGTCAATTTCGCCAAAGCCTGCGGGAATTTCTGATAATCGTTTTAGTTGCTTGAAAAAAAAAGGAGCTGGTTTAAAATGCCATATTATTTCCCCAGTCTTCCTGAAACCTAATTTACCTGCACAGCTGATAGATTGGAAAAACCATTTGCGCTCATTCATTCCAATCGTTTGGCTTGTTGCATTTCAGGGGATGCATTCTGCTGAGTAAATTTGCTCTAGGTGAAAGCTTCTTCACTCTTTTATCAACACATCTGCAAGTCTAAACATCCCGCACAGAGCAGACATGAGAGGAAAGAGCTAAGTTCTCTATACGGAAGGAATCCCTGAAGCAGGTTAGCTATATTATGGATGATGTAGGCTACTCAGTTTCGCTTAAGTTTTGCAGCGATATCCTCGGTTTCGGATTGCGATCTTTAATTACTCCACCAGCAGGATCTTAATACATCAACAGAAGCAACACCATTGTATGGTCACTTGTTCGCCGTTCAAAGCTTTAGAGCGAGAAGTTCTGCACCAATGGTGAGCCATTATGACCTTACAAAATTGGAGACAATAGACCTTATTCAGAGCAGCACCATGACATGTACTATGAAAGCGAGGCTGTGAGGGATAAACTTACCGTAGGCCTATATTTTCAATGGCATCGGCTTTAAAAGCAAAGCTCCTTGATCACTTATACATTTCCACCGCTCAAATTTGTCTGGGGTTATTTGTCTACTGAAATTTCTCTGAAAGATATTTCGCAGTGTTTTTCTTCAGCAGAACAATTAAAAAACAAAAACACATTAAATAACAGTACAGCCTGAAGAGATGTAAACTATACCTCACAGCATTGCTTTCATTCCCGTTAAAAATCAAAGATGGCGTCGCTGTGAATAAGGTAGCCATATAAATAGTCTCTGATAAGGTCCAATAGGCCAAATGTGGAAAGTACTCGACTTCACTGAAAATACACGGTTTTTAAATTCTGAATCACTCATAGTATATGCCTATATGTTCAGACTACCAATAATCCCAACTCGAGAGAGTTTTACACTTTCTAAATATATATTGTGTTGATCGTTTTGTAGGCCTACAGAATATACACAGCAATAAACAAAAAGTTATTGAGTAACTTATAGAAGACACAGCATTGCCAATTTGCCAGTTATTTTGTCCCTTCTTGCGACGTCAATGTAAATTGATCCAAACAAAACCACAGCAGAAGGAACGCGAAGCAACACCCAGAGGGATGTTTCTATTATGAATGCGCGAACGAATGAACAAATCTTTTAAAAAATATGAGTCAATGATTCACTCATAAAGACAATCGCTTGCTGGCACCTTCTGGCGTTACAGTAAGCTATTTATTGATATATTAAATCAGCTTTTATTTTTACATTTGCTGTTTACATTTTAATTTAATTTTAAGTTTCAGTATTTTTGTTATGTGCTTTTGTCATTTCTCTTAGTTTTTTTTTTATATATATTTCTATACAAATGTAGTTTTTATATCCGTTTTAGTTTTAGTTGGCTAATTCAGCTTAAGCCCATTTATTTCTAATATTTATATTTTACTTTATTTACTTTATTTCAATTTTTAATAGTTTTCGTTTTAGTTGATAACAACACTTGTCTGGAATGCACAAACACAGACAAGCAAAATTATACAGTGAAAGTTCCAAGTGTGGCCGGACGCCTCTAGCGCTAGACTAATCAGATGCAAAGACAGGAACTATTGTTGTATAAAAATCCTCAATATATGTACATACATTTATATCAGCATTCCAAGTCACTTGACACAAAGGTTAAATAGGCCTACCTATTTTTATTATTGATATTCAATCTTTGTGACTTATTCCCACATCTCTCTCCAGTCTCATAATATAGCTGTAATATGTCTTAGCTGTGTCTTTTGCTATTATGGAGCTCTCTAAATAATTAATTCCAATTCTATTTAAAATCTTATGAGAGCAATCTGTTCAAATGAAGTCTGAACTCCTCTCTAGCAGGAATCACTTATTTAGGATCCACAGTGGAGGTGATGCATCATCCACAGATATTACATTTTTTATTTGCTTTATGTGTTTTTCACTGCCTCGGTTAGACTCTGAATCCATCATTTGCTCGTGGAGTCAATCTTTTCAGAACCTTGGAGAGTTCTCAGCATCTGTGGCAGTACTACCTACCTCCCAAGAGGGGTCACCCTAGAGTCATCTGCGCTTAATTACTGCATAGTACCTACTGTGCCTAGAAACTACTTGGTCGCCTTGCAAAGGAGTGAGTGAGACAGTAATAGAAATAAAAAAGAGACATTCTCATGGCAACCCTGTATAGGTGACCGATTTGTGCTCTGAAATTTTCTTGTTTGATATACTTTAAGGTAGATCAATCTGTAGGCATACATGATGCAAAAATGCAGACCTTAAAACAAATGACATTGTGAAGGCCAAACATTGTAGGTTTATAAGCCCATCACCTCTGCATGATGCAATGCAAAGAATATGACTCCATTCGTGTGGCACAACATTAGTCACATTAGCTAGAGCAGCTCAAAGTATGGATCTTTACAGCCCATTTCCCCTTTAGTAGCTGTAATTAGGGTAGTTTTGTGCAAAGTGCCTTTTTGAAGGGGAACAGAAAGTCCCCTTGAAGGGTGATTAGAAAAGCTTTTTTTCTCTCTCTCTCCCCCGCAGGTTAGATATTTATGTTAAAAAGGTAATACATAATGCATGAAAGGCTACGAATGGAAAAAGTTAAGGTAGATGTGAATCTATATCCTTATGGAGTAACTGTTTCAATAAGGATAGAGTCGTTATCAATGTCTTTTGCGCCCCATTAGAGTCTGCAATGTACAGAATCTCAGTTCCACATGAATATTATTCACTTCATATTAGGTCTTTAAAAGGATAATAGAGTGTTTTAAGATCGCCTTGCTTTCAGAATTGTGCCCATTGAGAATTTTAATCATCCACAAGACTTGCTCCATCAGATTAAGAACCGACAGTTCATATCATTTGACTTTGAACGAGTCTTTGTCATTAAAGATACAGTTAGAGCGAAGGAGGTCGGTCATTATGATTAAATACATGCAGTGTGAAATCAATAGTCTATTTCTTATTGAATGTACTGGCCTCTTCTGTTTTCGCCACTAGTGGCCGCTGTCACACGCTGTAGATAGGAACTGTGTTTTTATGTCTTAATGTTCTGGGGGACATTAATAGTGTAACACACGGCTGTAGCATTTGCATAAACTTGGTGGAGATCTTTGGATGAGGTACACATTTACCTTAAACATTTTGTTTGATTGCATATTTATCAGACAACGGCAGCTGTCTCTTAAATTAAATAAATACGTTTCAAATCCGTTTTAAAAATGTAACGTTACTAGCAGCTAACCTTAATCCAAAATTAAACAGCCAGAAAATAACTGTTACTGGAACTTACTGGAAGCTCTCAAGTTTAGCCACCTCATTTTATTGTCGTGATTTTGCTGCTCTCTAAACTGTACTGGCCTCATTTGTCCTTATGTTTTGAATATGGTAGTGCCGTATTATATTATGGTAACTTACATGAATATAGTAAGTAATCATTCAGTATCAAAGTATATCATATCAATGCGCTATATTGTGTCATGGATACCAACTGCTATAGTTTGCCTTGTATCTATCTTTTGACCAGCTTTTATTGATTTATTTTATGCATGTGTTTTTAAGTCACATTACGTGTTCTTGTTTGGTTATTCTGACCTGATCACATTGTGTTATGTGCTATTTTGTAAGCCCTACACATACTTGTCATTGCAGGGTTTTTTTTATTGTCGGTAATTTATATTATATATATTCTGCTTCCATCCGTCCATCTATTTACCTATTTTAATAAATAATAGGTGTATCTTTGTTTACAGAGTATGGTTTAGACAGTGTAGTTTTGTCAACAAAGTGTGCCTTGTCCAGTGTGTAATTTGCACTCGTTGCTCTGTATACTTTGGCAACAAAAAAATAATTATGCTGAGTCCAATGCTTATAAAACAGTCAATTTATCACACTATCTATAAGCGTGTTTTACATTTAGCTAAACTAAAGCCTTTCAGTGATCAATGAGGCATTCCTCAGAAATGTGTTTGACAGCATAATTACTAACTGTCACCGTCTCGCTACCGGGACGCCTAACTTTACTTCACTATATTTCTATTAAATCCTAATCTAATTATGACAAATTATATATCGTTGGAAAGGTCAAAGACTTCTAAATAGATATTCTACCCCTGTTTTGTGTTACAAATTATGTAGGGAGAGTAATTGATGAATTTATGACAAGAGTGCACCTCAAAAAATCTGCATCATAACAGGAGGTCTGACCTTTGTCACAAAAAGTCGATGCACCCACTTTTAATCATTGAAACTTGTATTTTTATGCTAAAAGTTCATAATAAAACATATAATCTAGTATTTTTCAATAAAAAATTATAATATAATATTATCCTCTAAAAATTATATTATCCTCTAAAATATAATATTATCTTTTTTATCACCTTTTTTATTATATCACATATTTTAGTAGTTATCATAAATTAGGTATCATTTGAAAGCTTATAAACTCAGAATTCATCCTGTGAAAACCGTTTTATAATTGAACGTTGCGTTACCATAGAAACGGTACTCTAAATTATTTTATCAGGCTCCTCCCCTTTTAGGCATCATTATATTTCATAATTTATGATCAAAACCTTTTCTAATCTTGACAAAACACATATTGTCAGAAAGGTCTGTGTCTCAAGGTTCCATTTGGACTGGTTGATATTTGGTCATAAATGTATTAATTTGTTAAGGCAGAATGTATACAACTAAATTCAATGGAATTCAATGGCACCCGGTGGCTATTTTTGGTACTACGCCTAAACAAAATCTCATGGGAACTTCAATTTTTGTGATATCAACTTCAAATTTGGAACATAACTTGGTTAGATTTATGGCTTTGATTTTATAGTTATTTTATAAAATATATATTATATAAAATAAAAAATATATAGTACAGTATATTTGATTTACTGTAAATTTAAACTTCCATAACTTTTTCATACTTTAATTTTTTGAAGTGTTCTCACTTCAGCAATAATCTGCTGAGTGTTTTCTTTAAAACAAGACCAAACTTGGGTATATATTCCAAAGCATTCTTGAATTACAACCATTTAAGTTTGAATAGTGCATTTTAACCCCCATTCTCAAAAAGGGGGGTGACAGCTAAGGGGTTAACATACATCACATAAACATCACAATGATTAAATGTGAAGTGCCTAATAATAAGGCACTTCACATTTAAACAAAGTCATAATGTTGTTATAATATAATACTGTTTTGCTATTTGCAATAGTTACTATTTTTCATAATGTGATTTTTTTTTAATGAAATGTAGCCTCTTAAATCCAGTCAGGTTGACCTGAAAACATCATAATTATTACTTTATAATAATAGTATAGGAACTAAAACAATTAAAAAACAAAAACAATTTCCCTGTTGTTGTTTTTTTATTCATATATAATAACAAGTGATATTTTTGTGATATGTTGACCACTGAACTAGGAAAGGTTTACATTTTAGAAATCTGGTCACCTTACTACATAATAATCAATAATCCACAGGCTAATTCATTGCAGAGAGAGTAAAGTCCAGTTCAGGCATACTACTGTAACTTATTTGGCATTAAATATTGCGCTGTATGTTTATCCCTCATTAATCCCGCTTGGTTAAAGTGTGAACATTATAGAGTGTCTTGAATATGCATAGATCACATAATTTGTTCCCACTATAGTTCTTCCATTTCATTGCAAACCATTTAGTTCTGTGCTCATATTGCAAATATTTGCTGCTTTGTGATTAAGGTTTTTCTTTATTGCAGTGTTTTCCAGAATACTATGGTGTGAGACACTGAAATGGCTGGCCGTATTCCTCTGGTGTTGCTGGCCTGTGGCTCCTTCAACCCCATTACCCACCAGCACATGCGTCTGTTTGAGCTGGCCAGAGACCACATGCACCAGACAGGTTGGCGCCAACTGTTCATTTACTTAAAATTGGCAATCATCTGTTATCTGACAAAACTGGCCTCCTTTTCACTGTCCCTCTGAGCCTGTCGCATTGAAGTGATTTCTGTTGTTATAACTGCATTTTGATTAGTTTTTTGTTTAATTCTAGCGTGAAGCCTAACGCCCGTTTCACACATACTCCGTTTGCAGTGCGTATGCGGTGCGTATTTTTTTCCGTACCCATGTTAACAGGTTAGAGCTTTCACACTGCACGCGGGTGCGGTCCGTCCATCCGTTCCAGTTGCGGTGCGTATACAGCAGTGCAGAGATCGTTTCCGCACCGAGTCTATTTTTGCTGTGCTGCAAACGCTGAATTAAAGTGACAGCGCACGGTTCGTGGTCAAAATGAACACAGACTGACCTGAATATGTAGTAATTTCACCATAAATCCATTTAATTCAATAAAATGTAGTAATCTCACCATAAATGTATTTAATTAAATAAAATGTAACCATAAATGCATTAAATTAAATACTACTATTTTTCATAGTCATCTTACTTTAAGACCGGGATAAAGCAAGGAAAGGTACAATTTACTTCAACAAGGCCACATAATGAACGACACTCGTCTCATTCGTTGAGGTGGAAAAACAAGTTCTTTGTGACATGCAAGATTTATTGTATTAAGATTTAAATTATGCAAAAGAAAAGGTATGAGTCTGCTGTTTTTGTCAATTTTAAGTTTTAATTTAAGATGTTTGCAATTTTAATATAAGTACATGGTTAAATATGTTACCACTTGCTTGAGCAATTTAATATATAATCTATATAAAAGTAATGCATTGAATAATACGTTGTTTAAAATGTGTTTAAACGTGAATACGTCTATTAAAGAGTGTATATGTGTAGCTTACAAAGAGAATCGCACTGGAGGCAAAGACTTTTTTTAAATAAAAGTTGCTGATGACTTGATTTGATTGATGATTTTTTGAAATACAAAAAGTGAGTAAATGTGTTTGTGGTAGGCTACAGCTGCGGATCAGTTGCGCACTGCAAACGCACGCAGCATATGTGAAAGCACTATAGCGCGTGCTGCTCCTGTACCGCATACGCACCGCAACACGCACCGCATACGCACTGCACACGGAGTATGTGTGAAACGGGCGTAAATCAGTTATTTTAGTTTTTATTTTATTATAGTTTTTTAATATTTTGAATTACCTTTTATTTTTAGTCTGAATTGCGAGAAAAATAGTAAAACTAATATAAACTCGAAATTTCGAGTTAAGAAATCAGAATTGCGAGTGAGATAAACTCATAATTGCAAGAAAGTGTCAGAATTGTGAGCTGACATTGTTTTCTCAGAATTGGACTTTTTAACTTGCAATTTCGAGTTTATATCTCACAATTCTGACATTTTCTCAAAATTGTGAGTTTATAAAGTCAAAAGATATAAAAAGAAAAGAAAAATAAAGTATAAAAGATATAAACTTGTAATTGCGAACCATACCGAAAAAAAGAAGAAGAAAAAACGTTGCTAAAAAAGTCAGAATCACGAGTTTTAATCTCGGAATTCTGATTTTATTTTTATTATTCGTTTTTATTTTATTTTAAATATTGCTATTTATGTTTTATATGTTTATATGTTTATATTTATGTTTTTCTCATTTTCATTTAATTTAAGTTTTTCAACAAAATATTTATATTTTATTTATTTCAGCTTTATTTCAATTCAGTTTTAGTTTCAGTTAAGGATAATAACTAAATCTGTGCTTACATCTTTTTTATGCAGAGGCTTTCTTTTGTATAAGGCTGTAGGGAATGAGCGACAAATGCAAAGTGTGTTTAATGCTCTTAGCAGTGCTTTTGCGTTAGATGCATCAGCTGACCTGTGAAAATGTACTTGCATAAGCTAATACCCAAAGTTTACGAGCAAAAAAGGCTTTGTAGCAGCTGTAACACTGTGTCTACAATGCAAGCAAGAATTTCAAGTTGTGTTGATTAGAATTGGAACAATTTGTTGTGTTGCACTGCTAGCTTACAGTACAGACATGGTATAACTGCTCGACATAGTGCTGCACACTGACATTTTTGCTTGTGTTTATTTACTGTACGCAGTGTACTCCAAAAACTACTTGCAGAGATAGCTTGACAAGTAGCCAAATAGTTTGCATTGCATATTATATTACCTCAAGAGTGTCTTGAGACTTGTTTGTGGTTTATTGCCATTTTTATGAAAGATTAAAACTGACTTTTAAAAATTAATTGTATTGATAAATTCTGATTTATAATGTCTTGCACATGCAGCTAAATGAGAAAAGGCAAAAACAATTGTAGTCTGATGTGAATTCATCTTGACTATGCAAAATGAAGGCATTAAAACATTAAGCATTCAGCAACTCATTAGAGTCTGCCTGTGTATGCAAAGCTTGTGTTAATTTGTGTGCAGTGACTTAGAAACTTTTGCAGGGCTGTTGCACTTAGAAAAGCAATCAACGTCTATTTAATAAGCCACTTATTTACATTTTAAGGCAGATGCATTATAGGTGCAGTAAGTAATTTTTGAGAAACACTATTGATATTTGAAATCAACCCAAACAAAGACACCCCCTCCCTTCTTTGCTCCGCCCGCAAAATGCACAAACACACAATGGAAAATTGGATGTCTCTACCATAGCTGAAGAGAATCAAAATAATGCTTTGCGAAAAATTCTGATACTGGATGCTGTGAAACATAGCAAAACCAATGTCATTCATGTATGGAGCGGAAACAACTTAAAGGGATACTCCACTTTTTTTGGAAATAGGCTCATTTTACAACTCCCCCAGAGGTAAACTGTTGAGTTTTACCGTTTTTGAATCCATTCAGCCGATCTCCGGTTCTGGCGGTACCACTTTTAGCATAGCTTAGCATACATCATTGAAGTGGACAAGACCATTAGCATTTCTTTAAAAAAATTACCAAAGAGTTTAGATATTTTTCCTATTTAAAACTTGACTCTTCTGTAGTTACATCGTGCACTAAGACCGACGAAAAATGTAAAGTTGCGATTTTCTAGGCTGATATGGCTAGGAACTATACTCTCATTCCTGCGTAATAATCAAGAAACTTTACTGCCGTACCATGAGTGAAGCAGGCGTAATGATATGACGCAGCGCCTGAAAATAGGCTCCCTGTGCAAGCAGGTTGTCACATTGGTTATGTTGGCGGAAGGTAGCCTATTTTCAGGCGCTGCGTCATATCATTGCGCCTGCTGCACTCATGGTACGGCAGTAAAGTTTCTTTATTATTACGCAGGAATGAGAGTATAGTTCCTAGCCATATCAGCCTAGAAAATCGCAACTTTACATTTTCTGTCGGTCTTAGTGCACGATGTAACTACAGAAGAGTCAAGTTTTAAATAGGAAAAATATCGAAACTCTTTGGTCATTTTTTTTAAGAAATGCTAATGGTCTTGTCCACTTCAATGATGTATGCTAAGCTATGCTAAAAGTGGTACCGCCAGAACCGGAGATCGGCTGAATGGATTCAAAAACGGTAAAACTCAACAGTTTAACTCTGGGGGAGTTGTAAAATGAGCCTATTTCCAAAAAAAGTGGAGTATCCCTTTAACCTCTGTGTCCGTTTTCATGCCTTCCCTCTTAGGTCTATCAAGCGCTGGAAAGCTTTTCTAATATTAACCTGGGTCCTAAAACTCTTGCCTGATCACAACCCTTCTTTTCCCATTGATATTCCTCTGACCTTTTCTCTTTTGTAATGTCTCTCAGCCATCTCTCTTTCTATAGTCTTTTTTCAAATCTCCCTCTTGCTCACTCTCACTCCTCCCCCATCATGAGTGTATAAATCCCCTACTGCTGATTGGCTACAAGTGTGTTGTGGTGCTCGGTCCGATCCACTTTCAATAACGTTTCTCAGAAATCACTTACTTTAATCCAAAAGTCTCTGATTCATGATATCCATTTTATCATTGCATTCCCTAGGAATCGAACCCATGTTGTTTGGATTGTTATACTAGAGCTACAGGAACTGTGGTACGCTTTAAATGTGACATCTGATAATGATGTATTTGACTCAATTTGGGTCAGATATGTTGCCTTTTTCTATCTCGCAGGTCTGTATCGTGTGGTGGGTGGCATTGTATCTCCTGTCAGTGATGGTTATGGTAAACAGGGCCTTGTTGCTTCAAAACACCGACTTGCTATGGCAAGACTGGCCCTGCAGAGCTCTGACTGGGTGTCCGTAGATGACTGGGAGAGTCAGCAGGCGGATTGGACAGAGACTGTGGTGACCATGAGGTGAAAATATATATACAGTATACACTATATATATATATATATATATAGAGAGAGAGAGAGAGAGAGAGAGAGAGAGAGCGATTTTAGCGAAGAATGAAGTATGCTGCATTGGCTTCTTACCATGATTAATGTGTATCATTTATCCAGTCAAAGGTTTGACAAGACGAGAAACTTTTTTGAGTCTTTTAACACAACTGGGACACTTTCTGTAAAGGAAACATTAACTGGTTTTGACAGATGGGGTGCTAAATGCTGATTATACCTCCATTATCAGAAAATGCTCAGAGGTTTATAGCTAGAGTCATCTTTGATAGAAAAGTTGCCCTTTTTCTTTACTTCAAATTTTAAATAAACTGGTGTTATTAATATCAAATAATATGAAGTTTATGATACGCCATACAGTTACATGATGTTGACTTTAATGAACTGATGATGCACATTAGGACTTAAAGAGTCTTATATCTCACATATGAATTCCCAGAAGTCTAATTTATACAGTGCAATATATACAAGAATATAAAAGAATAAGACTGAAAAGCAGCTATAGAATATAGATATTCAATGTTGCCATTATATTTTCATATGTTGCTTTTATATGTGAATTCACCTTGCATTACCCTCTATGAGGGACTTTACAAACTCACTGTCATCTTCGAACCTTCTGAGCTGAGCTAAAGCCAAAACTTTATAGGAGCCGAATCCTTAAATTCCCTGTGTATGAGATATCAAATAGCCAGGCACTGGCGTGACTCATTCCAGCCCGGCTGTCCATCACAACAGCCACAGGTTCCATTCTCCTCGGATTCTGCCACAGAAAATATGAGACACCCTGTCATCCTTTAGTATTTGGTTTTCATTTTGTACCCATGCCAAATTCTTGTCCCCTCTTTTTACCTTAATGGGCCATTCCTCCTCTTGAATCCCTCAGATAGTAACAAGAGACTTTTTAAGGACCCCTCTGGGTACTCAAATTTTTTATGGCAATTGTTAGCTGTCCCCTTAGGTGGCAAATTAATACTCCGATGCCAGGGAGGAGGATGGCTGTACTTGCGCCAGGGTCCCGTGCCAGGACTTTATCTTTCTAGGTTTGCAATTTACTTCCTGGCAGAACTGGATGAAATACACAATTGCTTATAGCCCTTGCAGTTGACCTATGTGTTGAATTACTTGGTTGAGTTTTCGCTATTTTCAAGGACAAAGTGCCACACAGGCTCTGTTCTAAAACCCAGTGAGCATTTTAAGGTACACTCCTTATGAAAAGGCTGTTGCAAAAAGTAGACGTCAACATTGCTTGTATCCTTCACATAGAAAATGCATAACAATGATCTATTTGTAGAGGGGAAAAATCCATCTATATGTCTTCATCTGTCCATTTTCCTTTCAAACGTTTGGGATCAGAAAGATTTTATTTATTTATTTATTTTAAAAAAAACTTGTATTCAGCAAGATTGCATTAAATTGATCAAAGGTGACAGTAAAGACTCAAATAAATGGTTTTCTTTTAAATTTTCTATTCATCAAAAATAATCCTGAAAAAATAATAAGCAGCAGCTGTTTTCAACATGATAATAATAATAATAAGAACTATTTCTTGAGCCCCAAATCAGCTTATTAGAATGATTTCTGAAGGATCATGTGACAATGAAGACTGGAGAAATGATACTGATAATTCAGCTTTGCCATCTATCAGTCCGTCCGTCCATCCATCCATTCATCTATCCTATAAACACTCAAATTACTTTCAAATTTAGATGCAGGAATGCAAATTTTTTTTTTGGCTCCACCTCAATTCAAATTCTTTAAAAGGCATTCGCAATTCAATTCTGTATGACAGCCCTGGTTGGTTCACTATAAAAGCTCTTATACCCTAAAATCCACTATTCACTATTCACTTTATACATTAAACACTAACATGCAAGTGGGCGATATATAGATTTAACAACTGTTGTTAGCTCAATAATTATCTCCTTGTAATGGTTCCACACTCCTTCGCAACACCAAAGCTGACTAAAGCCTCTTGTGAGAGATTGGAGAAGTTAAGATGCAAATCTATAGGCTCATGCAATTCAGTGAGAATGTAAAGCTTCTCCCATGTTCATAAGCTGATTACCTAAACAGTATGGCCATTCATGCTCTCTGTTGTTTGTTTCTAAACACAGGTACCACTATAGCCACATAGCCGCTCAGTACGACCACAGCAAGGACCCGTCCACAAATGAGCGACCAGCCTTTGGTAAGCCCCGCCCACCTCTCAGTATGTCTTTGTAAATTGCCACAGAAACCTCTCCACACATTTCGGTTTCTTCTAAGCCTCCTCTCTTGCCTAACAGAGCATTTTCCGTCTTTGCTAATCACTTTAGATACTGTAATTCCGGTGCATTTAAAACAGGCCGTTGTCTTCTTTCTGGCCAGCACAAGCGCTGTTAGGCCTCTTTTCAAAAGTGCTTTTATTTGGGGGTGTTGTAGAGGTGCATGCTAATGAAGTCTAATACCCTCCACGGGATGACTGGGCTTAAGACACGCGTGCTCGGACTATTAATGAAGCTGAGATTAATAGCCAGGACAACTTTAAAACAAGACAAGTGACAAGAATGATAGAACACAAGCACACGAAAACCCTGTTATCTTAAAAACCTTTCACAGGATCCCTTGATTCTTTGCAAACCCTTTGTTCTGATACCATTTATTTCATTTGTATTTTCTTTTGCTTGACAGTAGACTGAAGATAACAAAGGAGCTCATCCTTCTATTACAATAATAAATAAACACATCAGTTGGAAATAACCTAAAAGATGTTGAAAATCATTGACTTTTTCAGAAAGAGATCTGTTTAATTTTATATTTCATGTTAAATTAGAACAGGGATTATTTTTTATTAAAATTGCCTTCATGCAAGACCCATTTAGGCGATTCAGAGAAATTTGGCACTTGCTGAATTACGTAAGCCATTTATGATTTTCTGGAAATATTAGTGATTGGATTAAAATGTGCACAATGCTTTTAAAAACTGTGTTTTACATGAATGTATGCATTATTAGAATAAGTTTGAAAAGGGTGGTATTTCTCCAGCCCCTTGCAGTGCACATACGTTTCTTTAGGTCTATGTTTAGTCACGTGGAGTAGAAATAAAGAGCTTTAGTGGGCCTGCGAGGTTCATTTCCTGCCCCCTGCCATTCATGTCTGATTAAACAAAAGCCATTTCTCTGACACCTGTTATAGAGAAAGAATTAGAGTTAAAAGCACACTATTGATTCTTTCATATGCTGTAAATATCACTGCTGAGGGCTAGACCTAGCATTGCTGGCCATAAAATGATTTCTAATGAAGCATTGAGAAAGGAACAAGTGAGATTTCTGCCGGTTTCATGCAAGGGGTCCAGGAGTGTCAAATATATAATTGTGTGTATTGGATGCTTTGAGCCACCATAACATTTTGAAAGACTGGGAAATTCACTAACTATTTTGTTTTATTGTATTAGCAAATGTTACATTAAAGGAAAGATGCAAATCTGTTAACAGGCACAAAATATGTGCTGAACGCTATTTCCACAGTGTAATTTACAGTATTCCAGAGTTCTAGGTTAGGGAGGATGCAGAAGGTTATGATAATTTGACATACGTTGTTGGGACTGTATAGTATCGCTCTATCACTTCAGATGCTATTATTATACTTCTACTAATTTAATTAATAATTATATGCTAATAATACTACTAATTGTCTCACCATTGACACTGCATTAAGGTGAAGATTGACACTATTGTCTTTTGTAGAGCTGCAATTGAAGTCGTTTCAAAGTTGATGAATTTTTGCAACTTTAACATTTGTTATTTTTCTGTTTATTACTGTGAATCTGCAAGGAAACAATCTCCATTGTATAAAGCGCTGTGTAAATAAATTTGGCTTGACTTGACTATTCTAATATTTATTCATATTTTGAATTAGCTTTTATTTTTATATTTTCAGTTTTCTTTTTTAGTCAGGTTGTTATATGCGTTTGTCATTTTTATTAGTTTTTGTCTTTTTTAATTTATATTAATAATAAGAATTGAATGCCTTTATTGTTTAGTGTATATATAGTATTAATATATAATATATCATATTTCTGTATAGCGCTAATACATTTTAAATTTTTACTAATATTTATATTTGATTTTTTTCGGCTTTATTTCAGTTATCAAAAATGATTTTTAATAGTTTTAGTTAAAAAAAAGTGAAAGAAAACTTGAAAGAAGAAATGTGAAGAATTTATGACATTGAAATTGAAATTTGAAAGATTTGAATGAGCAATCACATTTATATTGTTCAGAAACACTTGGTTCCTTCCTTTTATTACAGGAAAAAAGGTGCTGCGAGCAATTTTGTATGGATTGGCACTATGAAAATATCTCTTAGATATCACTGATTTAGGTCTTCTAAATTATCGTGTCAGTCTCTGTGACAGTCCCTTAGGCTCTGCACACTGCCATCGTTCAAGTTAAGCACCATATTCAGCTTCATAAGCAGTTGTCAGTTTTCTACCGCTCCTTTTGACAACTTTGACAGAATTATGATGAAGTGCTTCTGCTGCCCTTCTGCTCCATTTTTGATAACAGTTGAATGGTTCCAAAACAGGAAACAGTACTTATATCATCTTTTGAATACATTGAAAAGATGAAAATGACAATAATATACAATCAGTAATGTGATCGATTTCCCCCCCTCCCCCCTACAGGTGTCCCACAGTTGAAGCTGCTTTGTGGAGCTGATTTCATGGACACGTTTAAGGTGCCTGGTTTGTGGATGGACGATCATGTAGAGGAGGTGGTGGGCCGCTTCGGACTGGTCTGCGTGAGCCGTGGTAACCTGCAGCCAGAGCGGGCTATACACGAGTCCGATTTGTTGTCCAGGCACCGGCAGAGCATTTTCCTGGTTCGGGAGTGGGTACACAATGAGATCAGCGCTACAGAGATCCGACGAGCCCTACGTAGAGGCCACAGTGTTAAATATCTTTTACCAGACTCTGTCATTGATTACATAAGAGAGCACAACCTTTATACCCAAGACAGTGAGATGAAGAACAAAGACGTTAAACTACGACCTCTTGCCATGCAAGCAATACAAGACTGATGTAGGCTTTCGGGAATTCAGAGCCTGAGGTGGTCTAAAGGCCAATTCACACTGAACCGACAAATGACAACCAATGGCAACACACACTTCCCAGACAGCAACATAGTGTCGGCCCACATCTGGTACATGTGGATTCCACAAGGCCTAGATGTGGGCCGGATCTGGGCCCTCGCTATGTTGCTTTCTGGGTTTGTCGGGTTTTGCCGGATCAGTGTGTTACCTCTCGGCATCTGTTTCCATTGGTTGGTGCTTGTTTTTGCCAATTGAACATGTGCAATCCACCTCTGTCGGTGCAGTGTGAATTGGCCTTTAAGGTGCGGTCACATGTACCGTTGTTCAAAGAATTTTCTCGCGCAAAATCCAATCGGAATCCACGCAATTAGAAATATTGAAAGATTTCCGCACACAGATTTCTCATTAAGTTCAAGTTGGTAACCTGAATTTGCAACGTTGACCAATAGAAAACTCTCTGTGAGCAGTGGACCTTTTTAAAAAAGGACCCCCCACCCCCCCCCCCCCCCCCCCCCCTCGAAATTTTGTTTAAAAGGTTAGATAAATTTCAGTGATTTCAGTGTAGAGATGTATGAAGCGCAGCTCATACAGAAGTCACTTTCAAACCAAGTGTCTTTATGTTGGTCAGCGCGGCAAATTCGTATGAGCTTCAAAATCAAAACCCCTTTCGCGGAACTCCCGATCACATGGATTCTTTTTAGGATCTGTGCGATTCTGATATGAATTCGCCCCGCAAAATTTCGGCCAGCAACTTTAAATGTGACCACCTGTCACAAAAATTAGCTAAATATGTTTCAAAAGATTAAAATTCCCTCTTGCCTGTGAAAGCAGCTTTAGAGGAGTTTCATATTTTGTCTTGTGTAAAGTGAGCATTATCCATGACCATGGTTTCCTAGTGTAATGTGTGGAGAGGGATTTAGACATTTATCCTCTCTCTGCAGGAGTTAGATTTGCCAGATCACTGCAGAGCTGTAGGTCCATGTTCAGCAGGTCTGAGATTTGTTGACTTTTGCTGAATGTCACGGGGAAGATAAATAACAGAGCCTTTACACTTTGGAGAGCAAACATTGCTTCTTCCATTTCCATTTGCACAGAAAGCGTCATTCATGTTGTCAGGTCCCTAAAGACGTTTCATCAAGCTTTGTCGGTGGGGGGAAAAGAGTTTCTGACAAAATAAAATAGAAGAATGAGGTTTGGGATATTTGAAGTGATGTCTATCTAAATCATTTCTTTTTGTCCTTGTATCACCAACAGTGAGTTCTGGCTCAAACCAGCTAGTAGCTTTAATAAGGGTGTTTTTTTGCTATGTTGAAGCCCTCCTGCTGACAGTCTTTGAGTGTGGAGTTTGTGTTTTAAAAGAATGCCTTTGTTCATGCTGTCTCAAAAGAAAAGCTGGAGGAATTAATTCGACAGAAGCAGTCCCTCTCTTCTAGATGGCCCCTGCTTTGCATAGAAGGGTTTCATGCAGGTTTGCTGATTCAAAGCATCAGGCAGATGAAAGGAGTGACAATTGAGTTCAATCTTTTATCAAGCACAAAACATACCTTTCTTAAATTTCACGAACAAATAAGACAGATGTATAAACATAATCTATGGAATAAAAAGTTCATCCCCTGTAACAATGAAAGGTTTCAAAAAGACTGCTGTATTTTATGTGCGAGTGAATCTAAGAGAACCGAAATTGTTAATGTTGTTTATTAAAAACATTTTCAGTGTTATGAGTAAGAGTTTTGTTTTTTTGTGTTTAGTTTCAGTAGCATCATGTTGTTCCATTATATGGGGTACGTTGTCAAAATGGAACAGATGATAATCATTTCAGTAACATTTAGAAAATTATGAAACAACATTAAGCTCCAAACATGTAACGTACAAAAAGCATTGTTTTGGCCAACAAAACTTACTTAATGCGTATTGATTATTCATATTAATTAACAAATAATCTAGATAAAACCATGTGACAACTTGTCACTCTGAGAGACGGTCCTTGTGACAACTAGCCCCTGTCGGTCTCTGTTCTAGTGTACTTTCCTACAGCTCTTGATCACCGAGTTTATGTGACGTAATTACATGGCGGGGTATCGTATCCAAGTTTTCGTGATAGAAAAAAAAAAAAAGTTTTGTTGGATCCATGCTCTAGGGGCGGAGAGACTGTTTCCATAACAGTATCCAACCGAAGAAAGTTTAATTCACAAATCGCCGGATTATGATGACCGTTTTAAATAAGGGGTTCTTTCAGATGAAAAGCATTTGGTCGCAGGGGAGCAGCGATATCGGATCATCTTTGAACAAACCCATCAGTAGAGTTTATCAGAAATGGTTGCTGATTATAACGGCTACTGGAAAATGATCTCCAACGAGAACTTTGAAGAGTACCTGAAAGCTCTGGGTGAGTTTTACAGCATTAAGATGCTAGCCTATTCCTCATTTGGGGTAACACAATAGCGTATTAATTTTAATTGAATATAGGATATAGGCTATTTTGTTTCAATAATATTTATTCTTTAATATTTTGTATTTTATTTAATAGACTAGACAGACAATATTCAGTTCTAGATTATGCACCATTTATTTCTATGTAAAATGATACAAATATTAATACAGTAACTTAAACATACTACAGTTTTAAATCCAATGCATGGAAGGCAGATTGACACCATCTGTTGGAAGAAATGTGTAATCATATGTAATATCGCGGCATAGCCACTAGATGCTAGTATAGCATAATCCCTAGTTGCTTATAATAGTATTATTAGACATAATTCCTTACTAGGTTTTGCATTTGGATAAAAAATAGACATTATCAAATACTGACTCGTCGTTGCTGATTTGTACCCCAAAAATAGCTCTGTATTTTCGTATTTTTCTTGTTTCCCATTGATTTGTAATGGCGGTGATTTTTGACCAAGAAGATTGTGACCATGGCATTTAGCCATTTATAGTCATTCATATGGCATAAAAGTTCCACAAAAATCAACAAGTTTAGTACCATTCTAATAAAGCAAAAAAAAAAAAAAAAAATTTGGTCTACAATGACAAAAGACCTCCAGAGTGTTAGATAAATAAAAAAAAATATGTGGAAATTAGTTTAGCCAGATGCCATGTAGGCCTACTTTGTGAGTTTACCATAGGAAATTACCATAGGATATTACCCGTTTTCTCAGGTTGTTGGTTAGTTTCTTTTTCTCTCTTTTATGCATTTGACTATATTTATCACCCTATTGCACACATGAAGTCAGTGTTAAAAATAGATTATGTACTTTTCTTGCACAAAAAAAAAAATATTTGATCCAGTATTTATGTGTTCCATAAATAGAAACAAATATAAAGTTTTTAATTTAAATAGTTTTCAAGTGAAAATCTCTATGTAGCCTACTGTTTACCATGGTAAATTGTTGTAAGGGAAACAAAATGGCAGTTTTCTACTATTTTTTTTTTTTTTTTACTAGATGTTGCTTAAACTAAGAAAAAGGTAGCGAAAAGTACCACTGTGTTTTGGACATGTACCTTTGTATTCCTCAGATTACCATGTAAATAACATTGTGCATATGTGCATGTAATCATTCAGTACCATGGTGTTGAAGTACCAAGTTATTTCCATCTGACTGTAACCATCACTGTACTGTGGTAATCCTGGGGTATCTTTTTATAAGGGTATTCTGGGAAATTCACATTTTCACATGGGGTATAATTTCCTTTTCCAGATGTAAATGTAGCTATTAGAAAGATTGCCACCCTGCTGAAGCCTGATAAAGACATCAGTCAGGATGGAGATCACTTCATCATAAAGACTCTCAGCACCTTCAAGAACTACAACATGGACTTTGTGGTTGGTCAGGAGTTTGAGGAGGATCTGAGTGGAGTGGACGACAGGAAATGTATGGTGAGCAAACTTTCAAGGCAAACACTCTGGCGGCTTTAGATCTTAAAAGCATACTTTAAATTTTTTTTAATTGTGAAGCACTACTCAAAAGAACTTTAATGCTATTATCTAAACTTTGTAATTTGACTTAAGATGAACTTGCAACATTACACATTTGCTTCTTCATCGATGCTGCCTCTTTGTATAGACACTAGATGTTGAAAGTAAGTTTCTCAAAATATTTCTCAGAATTTTTGCGATTTTTCTTACCTTTAAATAAATGCGCAAATGTGGCCCTGCAAATGATGGTTTATTAGATCTATTTTCACAAAAAAAAATTATAACATTCCAGTATCAGTAATAATTCTCTTATAAGGTTGCCATTTGTATAATTTCATTGCCCTTGAAAATCACTAACTGCATGTCATTTACAGTTCACAATCTCAGCTAATAAGAAAAGGGAAAAGTGTGAAATGAGAGCAATAATTGGCTCTTTAATCTAATAAGAAGCGTTACTTGCTCTCCTTTCATTTTCCCCTCACTTTTCCTTTCACTTGGAGAAACTTGGTATATCTAAGACCTGTGATAAGACAATTGCAGATATGTAGAGATAATCATCTGTTTTTTGCCTGTATGCATTTCTTTGTTCTGTAGAACACAAAAGAAGATATTTTAAAAAATATCTTCTTTTGCGTTTAACAGAACAAAGTTACTTATACAGGTTTGGAACAACTTGAGGGTGGGTAAGAGATGACAGAATTGACATATTTGGGTGAGCTATCCCTTTAACCCCTAAGGTGACATTCATTTCCAATGGATAGTAGTACGGGACAGTAGTATTCTTTATTATAGTTTTGTTAGTTTCCATTGCATGAGCAATTTGTTAGTTGTGTTGCACTAGATGTGAACGTGTCTCCTCTAAAGAAAATTTGCATTGTTCAAGTTCACTTTTTGACATAACTCAAAAAAGTTTTGGAGTTGCAGTCAATAAAAAACACTTGAAACGCAGCATTTAGTAAAGATGTTGTGACCCGGTTTGTCCTGAACAAAAATCACTCGCCCCATTTAGTCCACACAGTGCCAGACATTGTTTCTCTTCATTCCAGCCACTGAAAGCAGACAGAGGAATAGGCATTTTCAACATACTTCTCTTTGTGCAGCATGTAATCACAGTGCAATCACATTTGCAAACATGGGACAAATTAAATTTTATCTTTGTGTCGATGAATTATAGATTCTATTGCAAAATCTGTTCTAGTTCCGTGTCTTTGCAGTCCTAATGCAACTGTGTATTTTTTCTGTATCAGTGTAGGTTAAAAATAAATCACCTTCTCTGTTATGCATTATAGACCACTATCACGTGGGATGGAGATAAACTGGTGTGTGTGCAGAAAGGAGAGATCGAGGGGAGGGGCTGGAGCCACTGGATTGAGGGGGATGAACTTCACTTGGTAGGCCAGTTCTCATGCATTTCATTTGTAAGGTCCTTGATGGTATTCCCTAACAGGTATGGTAGTTTCGCATACATCTAGTGTAATATCAGAAATATAGCCGAAGGCATATGCAGTACAGCATCGCAAAAACTGTTTAGGCTACGCGGCAGATGGTGGGGGAAGAGCTATTCTCAAATCTCAAAACTTTCATCCCCGTGATGATGCACCTGAAAAAGCACAACATTGACAGACTGATTATTAGAATACATTTGAACTTGTTTTAAATAATTCTAATGGGCGTCAAACACCATCATTATGATTTGATAGGATTTTTAAATGAAGGTGACTGGAATATGATGGGTGGAGGTAAAAACAACAGATGTTTGGCTTCAGCTGTGCGTTTGATCATGCATAATAAACCAAACCTCGTTTCTGACTAGGTTGCTGTAGCATTACCAAAGAACTGGACATTGCTGAAACCATCTGGTTAAAAATGATACACAGTACCGGTCAAAAGTTTGGAAACATTACTATTTTTAATGTGTTTGAAAGAAGTCTCTTATGCTCATCAAGCCGGCATTTATTTGATCAAAAATACAGGGAAAATATTATTATAATTTATAATAAAGGTTTTCTAATTTTAAAATATTATTTATTTCTGTGATGAAAAGCTGAAATCATTAGCATCATTACTCCAGTCTTCAGTGCCACATGATCCTTCAGAAATCATTGTAATATGCTGGTTTATTATATTATATTATATTATATGTGAAACAGTTGTGTTGCTTAATATTTTGTTATAACCTGTGATACTTTTTTCAGGATTCTTTGATGAAGAAAAAGTAAAAAAAAAAAAAAAAAAAGAACACCATTTATTTGAAATAGATATCTTTAGTAACAATATACACTTCCGTTCAAAAGTTTGGGTTCAGTGATTTTTTTCTTTGCTGTATTTTTTAACTTTTTTTTTCTCATTAATAAGTCCTGAAAAAATGTTTAAAAACTGTTCCCAACATTGCTAATACATTTTTTCTGTATTTGTTTCTTTGATCAAATAAATGCAGTCTTGATGAGCATAAGAGACTTCTTTCAAAAACATTAAAAATAGTAATGTTTCCAAACTTTTGACTGGTACTGTACATTGTTGTATTGTTCTAAAAAAAAGACCACTGTTAGGGAACATGTACCGTGTTAATTATAGCAAAAACAAAACCTACATGATTTACTCTTCTGTGGAACACAAAAGAAGATATTTAGAAAAATGTCTCAGTGTTTTTGTCCACAAGACCCTGCTGACTTTCATTGTAGACATTCTTCAAAATATCTTTTGCGTTTCCAAAGAGGAAATAAAGTCATGCGGTTTTGGAATGACATGAGGGTGAGTAAATGATAACAGAATCTTCATATTTAGGTCAACTTTTCCTTTAAGTATGTTTTCTTTGCTTGCAGGAGCTGAGAGCCGCCGGGGTTGTGAGTAAACAGGTCTTCAAAAAGGCTTAAACCTGTACCGACATTATAAAGTAACACCCCCTACTGAACACTGGCAAAGAGATCCAAAAAAAACAACAATTTAAACTCCTGCCACATTTTCCAACATCTATCAGTCTGTCTGTGTGCACCATCATCTCTGCTATTGTGAAAACCAGTCAAACACCATCTGTGATAGTCTGTCACAATCTATATGTGCTTGTTTATTCTGATCCTCACAGAGGAAGATCTCCAGCGACATTCATTCTTAGGTGCCGCCGCTTGTCATTTAGATGTTATTTACATTAGTGGTATAGGGAACACTGGGATAAGCTGCACTATAAGTGAACCATCAAACAACAGGTGCGTCAGGATATTGTCTTGGACGCAACAAGAACCCTCCTTAAATTGGGAGCTTCTGTGTACATAAAAGTAATTAGACTCCAGAGAGGATGTGCTGAAGGAAAAATGATGTGACGAGTCGCAGTGCCGCCCGGCTGCTGTCGCTCTGATTGAAGAGCCTGTCAGTCTCTTGGGTTCTGAGAATGCCAGGGTTTTGCTTTCCTTCCCATCATGCCTCTGTGACTGTGCACACAAAAGAATACATAAATCAGTGAAATAAAGAGAAATGCATTGCGTTCTGCTGTTCATATGCGTCTTAATGTGTTCGTTTGAACTTTCTATCCACACGCTAGTTTAATAAAGGCATACCAGCAGGAATGTAAATGAAATATTGCTGCCGGTTTTGTGTGTTTTGAAAAATCCCGGTTGGCATGTTCACTTTTCATTATTGCTGAGAATATGCTTCACCGGTTCTGAAGTATTACATGAATATTAACTGAACTAAAGCAGGACACTTACATCCACTTAAGAAGAAAACGAAAGGCATATAATTGGCAGAGTGTTGATAACTGTAGACCGCCGACCAGTAAAGTCTGTGCACTCATTCATTTTCCAAATTTGGCCCAGAGTCTATCAACGGCTTCCTGCCAGGTGTTCCTTTTAGCTACAAATGTGTTACCCCACATTGGCAGTCCACTCAGCATCCACTTTTTTTTCATGCTAATGGCTCCAAATATATTTTTGGGGTCTTAATTTACTTAAAATAGTGATCTGTTTGTTCTAGTAACCTGGACCGTGTTTAGCACACTTTGAACTTGAGACAGATTATGCAAGCAAAATAATACATTTTATGCTGTTTCACATTTATCAACACGTGAAAACATATGACACATACTTACTAAAAATCCCTTGTACCTTCAGAGGAAATTAACCATTGCAAAACTCATGCAATATTCTTAGGTGCAAATTTACTTGTAAAGGTCATAATAGGATGTATTATGTATAGGATGTATAGGGAGATTTTGGGACTTGTAATGTAGGAATTAATGCAGACATTCTCTTGAAGAAAAGCAGCGGCATTGAATCTCCTCAAATTTTCACCAGTGTCAAAGAATCCTCACACTCTAATTCATAATGCCAGATGATTACAACAGCTATTGGAAAATGATCTCAATTTATAACTCTAATGAGTACCTGAAAGCTCTCGGTGAGTCAATTACGAGTTCAAAAAGCAGGGAATCTTCTGTAGGCTTAATTAACATTATCATCGCACTGGCTGCACTATAAAACCTTTGGAACATAATTACATTACTAAGGTGGGCTGCATAATCCTACTAATTATTAATTAAATTAAAGAGTAACAGATATATTATCCTTTTTATAATTGAATTTGCACTCATGTTATTCATATCTATCGACATGTACACACTCACTGGGCACTTTATACACTGTTCAACTGCTCATAAACGCACTTATCTAATCAGCCAATCACATGGTATTAACTCAATGCATTTAGCATCAGAATTGAGAAGAAAGGTGTTTTATTTGACTTCGAACGTGGCATGGTTGTTGCTTCCAGACGGGCTGGTCTGAGTATTTCAGAAACTGCTGATCTACTTGGATTTTTACGCACCATGCACCATCTCTAGGGTTTACATAGAATGGTCAGAAACAATTTCCAATGAGTGGCAGTTCTGTGGGCAAAAATGCCTGGTTGATGCCAGAGGTAAGAGGAGAATGGCCAGACTGGTTTGAGCTGATGGCAACAGTAACTCAAAAAACCACTCATTACAACCGAGGTCTGCAGAAGAGTGTAAACACGTCGAACCTCGAAGCAAATGAGCTACAGCAGCAGAAAACCACACCGGGTACCAATCCTGTCAGCTAAGAATAGGAAACTGGTTACAATTCACACGGGCTCACTAAAATCGGACAATATGCCATAACCACATGAAAGCATGGATATTTGGCAGACGTTGGACCCCTTAATAACAATTGATCATCGTTTAAACGCCACAGCCTGCCTGAGTATTGTTGCTGACCATGTCCATCCCTTTATGACCACAGTGTACTGATGGCTTCTTCTGATGGCTACTTCCAGCAGGATAACATGAAATGTCAAATCATCTAAAAACTGGTTTCTTGAATATGACAGTTCACTATACTCAAATGACCTCAACAGTCACCAGATCACAATCCAATAGAGCACCTTTGGGATGTGCTGGAACGGGAGATTCGCATCATGGATGTGCATTTGACAAATCTGCAGCAACTGCGTGATGTTAATATGGACCAAAATCTCAGAGAAATGTTTCCAGCACCTCGTTGAATCTATGCCATAAAGGATTAAGGCAGCTCTGAAGTGAGTGTATATATGTACGTGTAAATAGTGTATGTAAATATGTCATTTAAATGGCCTGTTTTCAAACAGTCTTTGAAAATGTAAACACAGAAGTAACAGAAAATAATAAATATAAACACTGGGAGTTAATTCATCTCGTTTTGATTTTGGCTGTGGTTCCTGGCAGACACAAATTTCGCGATTAGGAAAATTGCCACTGTGATGAAGCCAACAATGGCATCTCTGAGAATGGAGATCGCTTCATCAATAAGACAGTCACCATTGACAGCGTGACATTGACTCTGTAGTTTGCCAGGAGTTTGATCTGTCGGGAGCTGATGAAAGCATTGTGATTAGGCTACCTATTTCGTATTTCGATTTAAATGTATAATAACTTCTATGTAAGATTAATTTCAACATTTGAATCAGTGCCCTTGTTTTCTTTCTCTATTGATATGCTATGGAAATTGGTTAGAAGCATCAAATCATAAATCTAGCATATAAAATGTAAAGGCCTACATTATACACTCCGTCTGTAGTGATATACTCTGCATAGTTATGATTAAAATACTAATCTTCATAATCATGGGCCTTATTCATCATTGTCATCATTATTGGGCTGACAAGATTAACCAGATGTGCTAAAAAGATAAGAGCAGATGGTTGCTGTTGTTTACTTTTGTCTTGTTTATCTCTTGTTGTAGCAATAGAGCTCCTGGCACAATAGAAAAACAGGTCTTCAAGAAATCCTGTACAAAGGTCTATAAAACCCAGCGAAAACCGCGTTCCTGTTCCTACCCCAAAACTTCTTCACTTTCTTCTTCCCTTTCTCACTCCCCACAGCACCTAGTGTCAAAACAATAACAGTAACATCTAAATTAACTGATTTTATTCAAGTCAAAAAATATTAGTCAACATCACTGAATCCAAATGCATTGATTTATAACAACAAAGCTATTTTTATGCATTAAGTTGGGTATAAATAGGCCTAGCTCTTTAAAGGAGAACTCCGGCGCAAAATGAACCTTTGGTCTAATTACACATTGTTACCTAGTCAACTGTTATCTGAGATTTGTTTTCATGATTATCGAATGTAAATAGTTTTATCTCTAAAAACAGTTTAGCCTATAAAGCTAGTATAACGCTAGTATCAGGGTTCTCAAGTCTCACGCATTGGCCGTGAGACACACGCAATTCAACCAGTTCACACGCCACACCGTGTATATCTCACGCTGAAAAAGGCAATGCCAACCAAGTTGTCCTGCAAGCTTTATATATAACGTTGTATACGAGGCGCATGCACACAAAGATACGTTTCCTGCCGCCAGCGCGTCCGCGTCTCGGCCAGATTGCGTTCGTTACTAGGCAACTTATAGGCGCGCGAAGTCCGCCAACACACACGGAAGTTCGGCCACCGCGACATCGCGCGAACACACGTCGTGATGGAGAAAGTAAGTTGGAAGAAAGCTCGCCTAACATTTTTAGACTAGAACATTTAATATATAGCCCATCGTTCGTATACATTATTGATGCAGTCAAAAACTCTACAACTGCTTTGCAACCAGGCCAAAAGCTTTGGCTCAGTTTGGCTAAGGGAATGTTATTGGGTATGGGAAGGAATGAAGATGTATTTCTTCAGATTATTTTAAATTCTATATTATACTGTATTAATAGTATTTCTAGTTACATTAAGGCTAAAGCAGAGTGCTCTTGGTAATATTGTATATCCTGTCAAAACATACATTAGCCTAATCATTGCCATTGCATTTGTATTTTTCAAAGATGTCAGGGAAAAATGCAAAAATATTTGTTTTTCCAAACATTTTGGAGCAATTTGTTATATATTTGTAGCCTAATTTTGAAATATAACATTAAAGAGTAGGCCTATATTTGATGTGATGAATTGCTCTGTCATTTATCAGATTTACCAATTGTTATAATTTAAATTTTTGCTGGTTAATTATGAACAATGGGTAAAATTGGGGGCGGGGCTAGGCGGGGGCGGGGCTCCATTTAGGCCCCTCCCCTAACCGCATGTGATCTCACTCCAAGCTTTTGATAAAACTTGAGAACCCTGCTAGTATATTGGGCATAGATCAATGACAAATAAAAATCGCTTGTTAATATCACTAACAAGGCTCAAAATAGCCCCACACTAGCACGGTAGCATAATGAGGACTTTGTCAGTGTCCAGACAGTTTAATAAGAAGATATTTTATACATACAGTCAACTTCGTGTATACAGGCAGAAGCCCTCTTTGAAAAAGAGTCTCTACCAGTCGATCTACGAACGCCGATCCAAGCCTGCTGTTCGCGCTCACCTTATCACAACTTATAGCTCGTTCACATCTCACCAGCGCACTTGGATCGGCGTTCGTAGATCGACTGGTAGAGACTCTTTTTCAAAGATGGCTTCTGCCTGTACACACGAAGTTGACTGTATGTAAAAAATATCTTCTTATTAAACTGTCTGGACACTGACAAAGTCCTCATTATGCTACCGTGCTAGTGTGGGGCTATTTTGAGCCTTGTTAGTGGTATTAACAAGCGATTTTTATTTGTCATTGATTTATGCCCAATATACTAGCGTTATACTAGCTTTATAGGCTAAACTGTTTTTAGAGATAAAACTATTTACATTTGATAATCATGAAAACAAATCTCAGATAACGGTTGACTAGTTAACAATGTGTAATTAGACCAAAGGTTCATTTTGCGCCGGAGTTCTCCTTTAAGGTAGCTATTGCAAGTTACCTAGCATTGAAAGGTAATTCAAAAAGCAAAAAAATAGGTGTGTGTTTAACAAGAAATGTGGGTTAGGTGTATCTGACTTCCTTATATGAAAGGCAAGGAGAGCACAGACCAGAAGAAAGATGATGAATGTAGTCTGGCTCCTGCCGCTCTCATAGTTTGATGGAAAGGATGTTGGACCCTGTGTATATTGTCCCATGTGTACTAAAAATGTGCCAACAAAATGAAAATGAAAAAAATAAAAATAAAGAAAGATGGAATGGACCTGTCTGTGTGGTGGTGGTTTTGTGTTTGTTTGTATGAATAGTAGTCAGAATTTCCAATTACCAAGTGCATTTCTATGCATCAAAACTCCACTGTAAAATATCATATATATAACATCAAAATCTGGCATGAAGATAAGGTATAAGTTTCTTTAAGTTAAGATGTATGACATATTCAGGTAATAATATAGGCTACTTCAAAAATCGTATTTTAACAGACTATGATGAAACAATAGCTTATATCTAAAGTACTGCATCACAACAAAATGTCTATCCAAACTTGCAATTCTTCATTAAAACAGCTGATATGCAGGAACCTGTTTTGGGTCAAACTTATGCAGCATTGGTTTGGTGGACTAAAATTTAGGGTTATGTACGTAAACTATTTAAAAAATGCTACTTATTTGGCAGGCAATGTGCATTGAGTATGTTCAAACTCAATTAATGTTTTGGTAAAGGTAGGATATATCCAGGATTACCTATTTACAACATAATCTTTTTCTCATGCCACAGCCGCTTAGTGGCCTTCTGGGGCTAATATCTTCAGTTTAAATCCTCTTTATTTTTTATAGCCTATACTTTCTTACTTATCATTTAGGCCTGTAGCATTTAAGGATAAAGGGTCAAAGAGATTTCTTTATTGCTCTGCATGCTAGCATCCATATTATGCACGAGTTAGATTCATACTGGATGATTTAGAAATAACGCCTCATGCTGATTGAGATTAATTGGTAAAGGATGGAATGTGTGCTATCGTGAAGGTCATGTGAGCAAAAACATGTTCTACTCATTTTTTTAATGTGAGCCTGAATCACAAATTAATGTCACTCTCTTCAAGATGCTCTGATCCTAGACTTCTAATTTACATGTCAACGGAGAAATTAGTTTTCAGTTCATTTAATCTAAAAGTTAATGTAGCAGAACAGTGTAAATCCATGTGAATAATGCAACGATTGTCCCCTACCATTAATCCATGTGTTCCGATATCTTGTACTTTGATCCTCGAGTGTTATGCACAGGATTGTGCACATTGTGTTTTTAGTTGTACTGAGCACATGTGTCGCGGTAATGAGCTGATCCGATTAATATGGTGGTAAATAAAATGCGGTGCTGATAGAGCTGCACAACAGGAGCTGGGGAACGATCAATCATCAGGTCTCCTCTAAAAATACTTTCAGGACACGAAGAAATTCACATTTCACAATGCCTGCTGATTATACTGGCTGCTGGAAAATGATCTCCAATGACAACTTTGAGGAGTATCTCAAAGCTCTCGGTATGTTTTTTTTATTAATATTCTTATTATTTGAGATAAGGGTAGGCTATGTGACTGCATGAATTCTTGCCTTATTAAAAAAAAAAAAAAAAAAAAAAATTACAAAACTTCCGACTCTAAATTCTTGGATGAAACCATAGGATGAAACCGAAACACGTGATGCTGGTGGTGTGGAGTTGATGCATTAATGCTGCGTTCCAGGCAGGTTTTTGAGCACGTAAATCACGACTTCAAACCACGACTCACGACTTTGTAGCATTCCAGGCCAGTCATGCCAAACTACCTGAGCGCAATATACATACTTATTTTTTCAGACACATAACATTGTAATACATAATCCTGTGTGTATATACATACTTATTGTTTCAGACACATAACATTGTAATACATAATCTTGTGTGTATATCATTATTATTATATTATTATTAATTTGACTGCAACGTTATATTGTCCTAAAGTGTATTCTCACTGTGTACCGCCTGCAGAAACACTGCATCCGTAGGGGCTGCCATTGTTGTTTTGTATGGTTTTGCGGGCTATGTGACTTCAGAACTCGTAACTGGGAGTACATCGATCTAGTACGAGTTCACGGGTGGGAAGTCACGGGTTTGACTGCCGTTCCAGTGTACTTTCACGGGTATAAGGTTGGAAAAACACGGGTTACAGGTTGCCTGGAACGCGGCATAATTTACAGTGGCTCGAATTGTCGGTAGTAGTTTGCGGTGTTCAGATTCGTTCAGTGGCCGTTTCTACAAGTTGTTACGCCAGATGGCGACCTGAGTGTTGTTGAATGAGTTAAATTATTCACACTCAACCGATTTTTACCGAAATTGACTCTCAAATGCCCTTCAAATCGGACATATCCTTGATCACAAACGAGACCTACCGCTCCGACTCATTCAGTGAAAGGGGCGTTTTCGTTCTGTACTTCCAACCAATGAAATGCTCTTTTACAGCCCGCACTTGCATGCCATTGGACGTGCTAATTGTCAGTCTTTAAATCAGAACATCAGTCACAGGCTTATTTGTTTATAAACGAAACTCTATATTAGCAGGAAATGTAGCCTAATGGGCTCTATGCACGGCGGTATTTCCGGTGAAGGTCTAAGGATGCTGGATTACTTCCGCCGATCGTAGAGTCCAATGCTATACCGAGAATTTATATTGGTTTTTATACTCTATTGCTATACTAAAGAAACGTTAGTCACAAAAACAGACAAAACAGACACCTCTCATTTTTGTTTATGCTTCTGTGTTTATTATATTAAATAAACACAACTATATATAAAATCACATCTAAACGTATTAAAGTTTCGTTTCAAAGACGAGAGGACAGTAAATTTAGAAGACTCTGCCATAATCCCGGTTTCCTCGGTTTTCCTCCGCTTTAAATCTCCCCAACCGGAAACGCAAGAGCATCCTTGCATCAAACGCGGAAGTTATGCGTGCATATAGCCCATTAGATCATTTAAAATATATTAGCGGTAACTGGAAAGTCTAGGTCTATATTCCAAAGCATTCTTGAATTACAACCATTTAAGTTTGGATAGTGATTTTCATGTCTATGCGAAAAAAAGGGGGGTGGCAGTTAAGGGGTGAATGAAAGTATTTAGATATCTAAGTAAACAAGTGTTTCCATAAACACTTAACTTGCATTGATTTATAAACAGGTCTGTTAAACCGGGCTACTAATTGTTATTTTCTTTTGTTCTTTTTTCTCTCATAATTCCTGAAGATATTAATGTTGCTATCAGGAAAATTGCTGTTTTGTTAAAACCTGACAAAGATATCACCCAGAATGGAGATCACTTTGTCATCAAGACTGTCAGCACATTCAAGAACTATGACATGGACTTTGTGATTGGTCAGGAGTTTGAGGAAGACCTGGGTGCAGTTGATGGCAGGAAATGTATGGTGAGTGTACCAACATTTTCCTTTCGTGCAATAATACAGAAGTATGAATTACAGTGATGGAGAGAAAAAAGATTACTAGACATAAATTATAGTGTTTGTCTGCTACTGCTTTTTTCAGTCTTTGGCCTATAGATGGCTGAAATAGCTTGGCTTTCTCATGTGATTTCTGTTCACTTGAATGACTTATTTGATTGTAATCCCCTCATGTGTACGTGGAATGCAGTTGCGCACAGAAAGCCATTTAAAACCGCAATGACTGAAATATTAAGTAAAAGCACCAAAGTTTTATCCTTGTGTTAGTAACTCAGATGTTCAGCTTTTGGTGGCTCCTGTTAGCTGACGTACTCCAAACTTGAGATTTTTTTTTTTTTTAATGTTATGCTTCAGTGTCATAAAAATATTTAAAAGGCATGCATTTATTTATCTGATTATGACATGAGCGGAATAAATTAAACAAAAAATATGATCACAGAAATCGTATCTAAGCAGTTTTTTATGGAATAATAATCCAGTACTTGTTATAAATGATTTACCCATGCACTTCATTATTTTTTTAACTCAAGTGCCCTTGACATCAATAATCAAAATAACTTAGCCTCCCACTTGCAGCAACATGTCCTCTCTTCTCTGATGATGTGTTTCCTGGCGTGAGGGCGGGACAACCTGTCACTCACATGACATCACAGCAATAACAAAACACAACCATCCAATCAATTCCCGATGGACAAAGTCAAGTCCCGTCCTACATTTGTTTTTTTCTCGTTGGAGAATCCGTTTTACTTGGATAATATATGTCAAAATAGGGAAGAAAAGACTATCTCAACTTCTGTTTTATGCAGACTTTAAATTACATTGGCAACTTCCATCCATTACAGTTTCACTGGTGCTTTGAGCTGCAATACCCAACATAAAACCATTTAATTATTTTTTTTATATATAATTTATGTTATAGATTAAATATCAAACCGTAAATTCCACTTATTTAAGCATGTTGTGGTAAACTTTGCATCTTTGCATTGTTTAATCCCCAGACTACCATCACCTGGGATGGAGACAAGCTTGTGTGTGTGCAGAAAGGAGAGATTGAGGGCAGGGGCTGGACCCACTGGATTGAAGGAGATGAACTTCATTTGGTGTGTAATGTATTAAACTACACTTGAAAGATCTTTTCTTATACACTCTCATTTGCCCCCATACAACAATTACTTTGTTTTTGGAAACAGTTAGTGTAAAACATATGGTAACTGATGATACAAATGACACGTGCTCACCAGTGTGTATTAGGGGCTCATTGTGCAGGGAACGTTATTATCGTTTCAAAGCTATTGTGCTATTGAACTCATCTAAAACATTAACAACAGATGTTCGACCACATCTGTCCAATGTTGCGCTTAATTACCCCAAGCAACCCCTTTGACAAAAAAGTGTCTACGGTCTGTTGAAGAATCTAAATTTAGGCACATAGCACCACCTGCTGGTGAGAAGTGCCATTTGTAGAGACACAGTCAGGAACATGATTTCTCTGAAAAGGATGTGGTCGTCTAGTGCGAAGGATATTGATTCTGGTGACCTTTGTCCTGGAAAATCTGTTTTGTTTTATAATTCTGTTCTGTACATTTTTCTATGTAGGAGCTGAGAGCAGCTGGAGTTGTGTCCAAGCAGGTTTTCAAGAAGACTTAAGCTTACGTTGTTTAGTTAAGCCTCCTAGTGGAAAAGACAGAAACAACCATAGACTGAGCTGTGCATCCATTCATCCTCTCATGCATCAGTCTTTCCGTTTGCACTTGCATTTTTCATATATGCATCTGCTTGATGTGCCTTTCTAGAGTCCTCACAAAGTTTATTCCAAATGAGCAATTACTTTAGTGGATATTGCAGACACCTGTTAAATTTCTTTTGTGTGTGGGTTTGGTATGTTATAGTGCTGTGGTCACTAAGCCTCCTAACTGGGAGCTTTACTGCTGTCTAAAAATACCGCCTTTACATCTGAGGGTCTTTCTGAGAGAAGATGGGTCTTGACCCCACAGCAAATTGAGCTCTTTTCAGAAGCAGGAAGAGGAGGATGATATGAAGAGGGTCTGTAAACCTGCACTGCTGCATCCATCATGTGTGCTGAAAGTGTGACAAATAACAACTAACAAAATAAAGAAAATTGATAAGAATAGTGAACATGCATGTTTTCGTGTTGCCTTTTATTTTATTTTGACAAAGTTTCACCACACATTGTTTACATGACATAAATAAGTTGAGGGATAAAAAAGCCAATATCTACTCTTAAAAATTACTATTATACTATTAGAAATGACTATTATTAATAGGCAGGAACTTTCACTTTTATTCACAGTAGATTACTTGTGGTTCAAGGCATATCCGTTGAGAACTTGTTTCTTAAAAACCTGTTTACACACCACTCCACAGACTCGCATTTCCTGTTAATTATAGTTATATTTTTGATCAAATAAATTCAGCCTTGGTGAGCATAAGAGACTTCTTTGGGGGGGGGGGGGGGGGTCTGGGGGGGGGTTTGTTGTGCCAACAACCCCAAACTATTGAACAGTAGATCAATTATAGAGGTTAGTGGTCATTATGCACACATATTGTTGAGTAACAAACGAAGAATCCCAGACAGTCATATAATGAAGTCACTAAATAGATTTCAGCTTATACACATTTGAAACATGTTTGCTATTGTAATGTGTGACTGCCGCGGTAATGATGTTATCTCATTAATTGCACTGTTGACTATACACCAACAACAAGAATCAGCCAAGTGTGACCTTTCATTATACAACAGACCATGTCCTAATATGAACTGCGTCCTTATACAAACTTACCACATGTAACTCATCCCCTTTCACCCACTGTGTCCAGCCCCTTCCTTCCTTTTCTCCTTTCTGCACACACACCAGTTTGTCTCCCTCCCAGTTTACCGTGGTCTACAAAACAAGGATAGATACACGCCACTGAAAGAGATGAAGCTGGAACCGACTGACAATTCACACAGAATAGAGAATAAATAGTGTACTTTACCAAAAACATAAATCAGTAACACAACCTTTTAAGCGTCAGTGCAAGGTATCAGGTGTCAGTCACTTTCAGTTATTTTAGCTGTACATTATTAGTATTATTTTAATTTATTAGCAGAATCAAACAGACTGGTTTATAGCGCAAACAATTTAATCATTAACTACACTTTGTTGTTCTTATTATTTGCCTCTCTCTAAAAAAGTCTAGAAACTTAAAGGGTTCTGTCAGGTTCTGCATCGAACATTTCCCATTATGGGATCATAAATATAAATTGAATTAAATAAACTTCACGCGGAATTGAAAAAATTAAGTTATATGAACTTAACAATTCCACATAACTTATTTTTTTCAATTTCGCATGAAGTCTATTTAATTTTAAGGCAATGGGTTTCCTTACTTTTTGTAAGTTAAGCCAACTGATCACTTTTTACAGTGTAGAACCTTTTTGTATTAAGAATTCTTTAAAATTGAGTCAAGAACTAGGGTTAACCCCAGTGAACCTTTTTTTTCTGAGAGTGAATTGGAAGAATTGCAGTCTCTCACATTCACAAGAAATAGCTTAATTCCGTGTAAAAAAAAGTAGTTAGAATAGCAACAACAACAAAAAAAAAAGATTTAACAAAACAAAAAAACATTTAACCCCAATAAAGCTCTCATTGTAAACTGAACACAAACTGAACACAAACACTGTACTAACATGCCTAGTTGACCTCACGTTCCCGGAGCACCAGGTGTTTGCGGCATTAGCCGAAAACCTCATGGATTTAAGATTCAGTCATTGTAGTAAATCTCTGTCTAATCCTATTAAATGGCATAATCACTGAGTCATACTTGACAATAGGAAATACAGGTCAGAATACTACATATAGAATCTTTTTCCAAAAGAACCTTTTGTGCAATGGAAAGTTTCCATGGATATTATATAGGTCTCTCGTGGAATCATAAAGAGCCTTTATTTTTCAGAGTGTAATACACAAAGGGGTTTTGTTTTCCAGTTCTGATCTTACATTTCTGTTGCACTTTAATCTGTACCTTCAAGGAGGTCACTTACCATACATTTCCTGTCATCTACCCCAACCAAATCCTCCTCAAACTCCTTCCCAACATCAAACTCCATATGGTAGTTCCTAAAGGTGGTGAGAGTCTTAATATTAAAATGATCACCATTCTGAACAATCTCCTTATCAAAGATGAGATAGCTGGCAATTTTTCTGATGACAAGATTCACATCTGTAAGTTGAATACATATAGAATTGGTCAACCATATGGTACATGAGCCCATTTTTACTGTATCTATATGTAAAACAACAAAATATAATGAGGTCTGCCAGAGGTATAAAACTTTTCTCTTGAGTACAAAATACAAGCACACTTACAAAGTAATGATGACAACATATGTTTTTTTAAGTTATACAAGATTCGCCTCATTTTTTAAAGTCAGTTTAATGTAAATTAAGTTGAAATTACTTAAACACCCAAGTTGATTGTATTTAAAAATTGAAGGTAGCTACTTGACCATTTTCAACAGAATATATAAACTTCTCACATACCTCGTTCAGGAAAGGAAATTCATTTCACAGGGGTATAATAAATAAATAAATATAAAATGAAGTATCAGCCTACCTAGCACTTCCATGTATTCATCAAAGTTTTCATTACTTGTCATTTTCCAGTATCCATTCATGTCCACAGGAGACATCTTTGCTGCTTTTTTTGCGTTTGTCTTCATGCACTGATGTTTCGACATCAAGGTGCGGTGTGGTGTCTCAAATCACACGGCAGGTTGTAATCCTAAAGCCAATTAGGGCCTTTGGATTATCTCAAAGAGCATTTACACATGTTGTGGGACACATGTAGAGGATTTTTTCCTCTTTTTCTTTTTTTTTTTGTACATGAGCTCTGTCAAGGGGAGTGAATTCCAATGCGTGATGCATCTCATGACCTCATGTCAGTCCCTGCATGTGAACAGACAGTTATGTCTGTTTGTAATTGTTTTGATTCTCTGTCTGACAGCAGCACAACAGTCAGTCAAAGCAACAATCACAATGCTGTCAAAAGGCTTTATGCTTAGAGACTCTAGAGCAAGAGAGAGAGAGATGGGAGAATTGTTCAGGTGAAGACCTGTCAGTAATGAGGTCAGTCTTCCTGACTAAATTACTCTGAAGTGTCGTGAAATGTAGAATAAAATATACATGAGATTCCTGAGATGTTTATTTTTCCGAACATGGCCTATTTTCTTTTCCATCAACCACAAGTGTGTGCTTTTGCCAACCAAACTTGTCTTGGTGTATCTACACAACCATTCCAAATTTGGTTCAGGATTCTTTGATGAATAGAAAGTATAAAATAACAACATTTGAAATCTTTTGTGACATTATAAATATCTTTACTGTCATCTTTGTTGTGTTATTTTCTTTAAAAACCCTCGTGTCATTCCATGTAATTTTGTTTTTCCAATGGAACAAAAAAGCAGATTTTTGTTGTTTTTTATTTATTTATTTATTTTTGCTATTTATTTATTATTTTGTTGTTGATTGTTTATTTTGACAGACAGATTGACAGACAAGATCCATGGAAATTTCATACAAAAATGTCCACTTTTGTGGTCAAAGTTTTAGAAGTTGAAGTGTTAAGAGTTTTGGCTATTTAAGTTTGAATCTACATCCAGATCTTTTCCCCTTTCTGCAATAGCAAAAAAAGCCTTCCAACACATGGTAAGGAGTCATACTAAAATAATCTTCCTCTGTAATTTCATATTCGTCCTATACTTTCTTACAGGCCTGTTCTGTTTAATGACACACTGGATGGAGCATTCAAGATAAAGTCTGACTCATAAAAGTGCTGGAACAGTGGTGACAGAATAAAGTCTAGCCTTTGGATATTCTGATCTTCTGAACATCAAATGCTGAAAATGGTCCTTGTTCTTTCTGACATATTTCCTCTTATCTTGTCTTCCATGCTTAACAATAGAGTCCAAAAACAGAGTTTCTCAGATCACAGGAATGAAGATCAAAAAATGTTGTATAACGCCCCACTCGCCCCCTTTTCTGCAGCAGCATCTCAGTGGGTGGAGATTTACAATATTGTTTACACTATGCCATTTGCATTGAAATAACTTTCTATTCATTAAAGAATCCTAAATAAAAGGTATCACGATTTCCACAAATATTTTAAGCAGCACAGCTATTTTCAACATTGATTATAATAAGAAATGTTTCTTGAGCACCATATCAACATATTATTAGAATGATTTCTGGAGGATCATGTGACTCTGAAGACTGGAGTAGGCCTAATGATGCTGAAAATACAGTTTTGCCATCACGGGAATAAATTACATTTTAATATTAATATTAATTCAATGTATTCAAATAAAAACTGTTTTTTGGCAACACGAGCGACAACAACCATTCTCAACGCCTATTCAAATGAACAACGACATGGTGACATGGCAGTGCAGATAGTGCAAAAGAGTCGGAACACCTCAGACAACAGCGACACTGGGAAAATTACAAACCCTGACTATCGTGAAATCTTATTTACTGTATGTATCCAGAACATATTTTAATACAAGCTTATGTAACGGAGTGTAAAATGTTAAATTACTGCATAAATGGGGACAACGCCATATCTGGCTGATGCGTGATGGTAGTGTACGGATTCTACGGAATAGGGACCGCGCCCACAGCAGAGATGACATCCCAGCTATCACAGTTACGTTGTGAAGACGTAACAGGACCGGCCCATATTCGTCGTAGCGACGTACCACATAACGTTCCAGCAACGTAACTTTGTGATTCCCATAATCGTCGTGGCGACGTTATAGTGTACGTCGCAAGAACGTGATGAGTACGTCTTAATGACCAAACTGGCATGTTGCGAGGACGTAACATCAAAGGACCATATTAGTCGTAGTGACGTGCCAAATAACGTTCCAGCAACGTAACTTTGTGATTCCTGTATTCGTCGTGGCGACGTTATGGTGGTACGTCGCAAGAACGTGATGAGTAGGCCTACGTCTCAATGACCTAACTGGTATGTTGTGAGGACGTAACATCAAAGGACCGTTTTAGTCGTAACAACGACCAAAATACCACGTAAAAAACAACAACAACAACAACAAAAAACACTGCATACATTTAATCAGCATTTATTCAGTGTTACCTGTTCCAGTGTTACAATACACACATGTGTGCCTCAAGAATCAATCAACTAGAAAACATTTATATCATTTAATAATCAGCAGTTAGTTATTGACATTTTCCACAGTAAGATAATAAATAATTAACATAATTTTTAACATATATATATATATATTGTTACGACCCGCTAGTATCAGGCCGCAACACAAAAGAGGATTCAAACAGCACGTTGCAATTCAAAAGAGTTTTATTACATTAAACATACAATCGGAAACAAATTAACAGAAGTCTAGGGATAAAGGAAAACAACAGGTTAACAAACAATAATATCTTTGACGCTACATGTGTAAGACAAATACCCGGAGGAGCCACTCCTGAGGAGAGTTTCTCCAAAGAGTGCCCTCCCTTAAGAAGGCACAGTACTCTTTTATACTCTAAGCCAATTAATAATTAGTATGGGGAAAACCAATCAGGAACTCCCACGGCTGGACCAATAGGATCAGAGGACTCAGGGACGTCACACCTCCCAATCCAAAAGGAGGTTCTCTGAAGAACCGACAAAAAGAGAGAAAAAAATAATAATACGAATGCAAAACCATCATTCCAAAAAAAATGTAAATGTATAATAACTTTAATACTCATCTCCATAAATCTCACTCCATTTCAATCCTGAAATCCTGGGCCCTAGGACATCAGAGAAAAATAAAGGAGAAAGAGAGAGAAGAAAAGATACCAGACACTACTGGGACAGTTTACATACGGGAGAGAGCATCAGCAATTATGTTATCCTTGCCACGTATGTGTTTAATCTGCAAGTGGAAAGGTTGAAGAATAAGGCTCCATCGCATTATTCTCTGATTCTTACCGCGCATTCGATCTAAGAAAGTCAACGGATTATGATCAGTGTATACCGTAATCGGACCACATACCGAGCTCAAATAGACCTCGAAATGTTGAACGGCTAAAATAAGAGCTAATGCTTCTTTTTCCACGGTAGAATACACTTGCTGATGACGATTGAATTTCTTTGAAAAATAACTGACTGGATGTTCAATTCCGTTAGAATCTTCTTGTAGAAGAACAGCACCAGCACCGTAAGCGCTTGCATCAACTGCAAGTAGAAAATGCTTGTCAAAATTAGGAGCAGACAACACTGGAGCATTTGCTAATAAAGATTTGGCATTCTCAAAGGAACACTGACATTGTTCTGACCATTGGAAAGGTCTCTTAGGGCTTAGCAAATCAGTCAGAGGGGCAACTACACTTGCAAAATTATGACAGAAACCCCTGTAGTAACCCACCATCCCAAGAAATCGTCGCAACTCACGACGGGTAGTTGGTTTGGGAAAACTACAGATGGCATTCACTTTAGCGTGAATCGGCTTCACACAACCCCTGCCAACCACCTTCCCTAAGTATGTCACAGTGGCCTTTCCAAACTCACTCTTAGCAAGATTTACAGTTAAATTGGCTTTGGCTAAACGCACAAAGAGCTCTCTAATTTGATCAAGGTGTTCAGACCAAGAAGAACTATACAAAACAACATCGTCCAGGTAAGCTTCACAACCAGTCATCCCAGACAAAACGTGATTTATTAACCGCTGAAATGTAGCGGGAGCATTTCGGACCCCAAAAGGCATAACTGTGTACTGCAGGAAGCTATCAGGTGTAACAAAAGCAGATAGTTCTTTAGCACGAGATGTCAATGGCACTTGCCAATAACCCTTCAGGAGGTCAAATTTGCTAACGAACTGCGCTGAGCCGACACGGTCAACACAGTCATCAATTCTTGGTAAAGGATAACAATCAGGCTTTGTCAGAGAATTGAGCTTTCTGTAATCAGTACAGAAACGATACGAATTATCAGGTTTATTCACTAAGATACATGGGGAACTCCAAGAACTAAAACTAGGTTCCGCTAAATCATGATCGAGTAAATAATCTACTTCTTTCTGAAGTAACTTCCTTTTAATCGGGTTGACACGATAAGCATGTTGTTTCACTGGTTGAGCTGTACCAACATCAATATCGTGCTCCACGACGGAAGTTCGAGTAGGAACATCAGAAAAGATTGAGTGAAACGAGCTTACCAACTCAATATCAGCCTTCTCCGACTCGGACAAGTGAGATAAAAGGTGAGCTAAGTTAGCAAGAACTTCAGAGTTATTCAACCGCCCTTCCACTTCTCCTCGAGAGGGACCTTTCATCTCTTCTGGATTGTCATCCATCCCTACAGATGTTTCCAAAACTCTTGGATCTGCAATTCCAGTAGCTGTCACAACATCAACAGACAGAAGGAACAGGAGTCACATAAGATTTTAGTAAATTAACATGACAAAACTGTATTTTCTTTCGACGATCGGGTGAATTTACTAAATAGTTGTTATTCGGGAAACACTTCGCAATCGTGTAAGGTCCAGCAAACCTAGCCTGGAAAGGAGTATTCAAAACAGGCAACAACGCCAGCACTTGGTCACCGGCTTGAAAATGTCTGGACTTCACTTTGCGATCAAACAGTCTCTGCATCTTTTTCTGAGATTTAGCTAACTTCCGCAGAGCAATAGCTCTAGC